TTTAGCCTGATGCAAAGAGTGGAGACAATACTTAGTCTCATGTTGGGAGGCAATACTTAACCTTATGTAATAATGGAGGCAGTGCTTAGCCTCATGCCATGATGAGGGCAATGTTTAACCCTATGCAAGGAGCAGAGACAATGCTTAGTCTCATGCAAAGAAAGGCAATGCTCGGCCTTATGTGATAATAGAGGCAGTGATTAGCCTCATGCGAGGTGAGGGCAGTGTTTAGCCCTATGCAAGGAGTGGAGATAATTCTTAGTCTTATACAAAGAAAGGCAATGATTAGCCTTATGTAATGGTGAGGAAGTGCTTAGCCTTATGCAGTATGCAGTTAGTACTTAGCCTCATCCAGAGAATGGAGATAGTGCTTAGTTTCATACAGAGAACGGAGACGGTGCTTAGTCTCATGTAAGGAAAGGCAGTGATTAGCCTTATGCAATAATGAAGGCAGTACTTAGCATTATGCAAGGAATGGAGACAATACTTAGTCTAATGCAGGAAAGGCAGTTCTTAGCCTTATGCAATAATGGAGGAAACACTTAGCCTTATGCCATGGTGAGGGTAGTGTTTAGTCCTATGGAAGGAGTAGATACAATGCTTAGTCTCATGCAAGAAAGGCAATGCTTAGCCTTATGTGATAATGGAGGCAGCGCTTAGCCTCATGCAAGGTGAGGGCAGTGTTTAACCCTATGCAAGGAGTAGAGAAAATGCTTGGCCTCATGCAGGAAAGGCAGTGCTTAGCCTTATGCAATAATGGAGGCAGTGTTTAGCCTCATGCAAGGAATGAAGACAGTGTTTAGTTTCATGCAAGGAAAGGCAATGCTTAGCCTTATGCGAAGAATGAGGGTAGTGTTTAGCTCTACGCATGAATGAGGGCAGTGTTTAGCCCTATTGAAGAAGAGCAACGATTAAATGCGAGAAGGAAAAGTGATTCTTAGCTTGGCGCGTTTGTGTTTAGCGACTTCTGTCGGTGTTAAGATAGTAATCCTGTTATATGTCTATATTTGCGGACATTTTTATTATGTCCATGGTGCCTGCATCCAAAGAAAAATTGTGAGTTTGGAGGGTGGAAGGTTGGTTCGTGCTATCGATTCCTTGCTTTGCCTTTGCTCCTATTTTGAGGTCCTGTTTGAGTCACCCCGGGTAACGTCTGGCTACACGGAAAAATGAAATTTTAGAAAAACATGCATTTGTGAAAAATTGTTTATATAAAAATGTGGTTGTTTGACAAATGTGATAAAGCATGAGAACAAATAATTTTGTCGAATCGGGGACTTTGACACGCTTTTGAGACATTACAACCTCATTAACTAGGAATTTTGAGGATGTTCCTCATAGTTCTCCCAAATTTTAAATGCATACTTCTGGCAAAACATTCCTTGGTGATTCTGAATACGATGAGATCGGGCAAACTCGAGATCTTTTCCTAGTTTCAGACCATAAGGGGAATGACAATTTTATTGTGATGTGACCGAACCCACATGGCTGCCCATATATCCCCTATTAAATGGGAATTAGGTCAAGCGTAGCTCAGGTTACATCAAATATAAAGTGCAAACATAGTCTTAAATGTAATATCTCTTGACTGCATCCGAATTGATAGGTTTCGGCCAAATGTCTCCATCCATCTCTGCAAGTATAAGTGCTCCTCCTGTTAGTACTCGGTGAACCATGTAAGGGCTTTGCCAGTTGGGTAAGAATTTCTCCTTTGCTTCATCCTGATGTGGGAAGTACCAATTTCCCTGGCGTGAATTGCCTTGACGTAACCTTTTTATTAAAAGCTCTTGACATTCTATTCTGGTAGAGCTGATCGTGACACATTGTGTTCATTCTTTTACCATCCATGAGAGCTAGTTGTTCGTACCGGTTCCGTACCTGTTCTGAGTCGCTGAGCTCGGCTTCTTGTATAATTATTAAGGAGGGGATCTCTAATTCGACAGGGATAACAGTTTCGGTACCATAGACCAGTAGATAAGGAGTTTCCCCAGTTTATGTACGAACTCTGGTGCGGTATCCGAGCAAAGCAAATGGTAGCTTTTTGTGTTATTGCTTGTAGTTGTCCACCATTTTCCTCAATATCTTCTTGATGTTCTTGTTGGTGACTTCTACAGCTCCATTCATTTACGGTGTGTATGCTGTATAATTCTGATGCTTGATCTTGAATGTTTCACACATGACTTTCATCAGATCGCTATTGAGATTGGTGGCATTGATAGTGATGATTAACTCAGGTACTCCAAACCGACAAACAATGCGGTCCCGGACAAAATATACTGCGACCTTCATAGTTACACCCTTATAAGACGTGACTTCAACCCATTTTGTGAAGTAATCTATAGCCACTAAAATGAACATGTGTTTGAAGCAGCAGGTTCAATTGGTCCAATGACATCCATGTCCCAAGTAGAGAAAGGCCAGGGTGAACTCGTTACATTGAGTTCGTTGGGCGGCACTCATATCATATCAGCATGTATCTGGCATTGGTGACACTTTTGAATGTATTTGATACAGTATGTTTCCATAGTCATCCAGAAATACCCTGCTCTTAATATCTTCTTGGCCAAAACGAAACTGTTCATATGAGGTTCGCAAGTTTCGGCATGTATTTCTTCGAGCAATCTAGATGCCTCCTAGGCCTCGACACATCCCAGTAATCCCAAATCAGGAGTCCTTCTATACAAAATTCCTCTGCTTTGAAAGAAATGGTTAGCCAATCTTCGTAGTGTGTGTTTCTGAGTATGTGTAGCATTCTCTAGATATTCTCCCTTTCCCGAGTATTCTTTGATATCGTGGAACCATGGATTTCCATCGAACTCTTCTTCAATATAAATACAATAAATTGGATGCTTATTAATTCCTATTGGGATAGGGTCGATAAAATTCTTGTCTGGATGTTGTATCATGGAAGACAAGGTGGCTAATGTATCTGTAAATGTATTCTGGATCCTTGGAACATGTTTGAATTATATCCTTTTGAGCCTTTTGATTAACTCCGGTACACAATGCAAGTAGGGCAATATTTTGGTGTTCTTAGTGGCCCATTCTCCTAGTACCTGGTGTACCAATAGATCATAATTTCCTATTACCAACAACTCCTGAACGTTCATGTCGATGGTCAACCTGAGTCCCAAGATGCAGGCCTCATATTCTGCCATATCGTTGGTGCACGAGAACCTGAGTTTTGCGGATACCGGGTAATGTTGACCGGTTTCTGATACTAAAACAACTCTGATGCCCACTCCCTTGAAGTTTGTTGCTCCATCGAAGAATATCCTCCAACCATCGTATGCTTTAGTAATATCTTCTCCTACAAATGACACTTCCTCGTCGAGAAAATACGTCTTTAATGGTTCGTATTCTCCGTCTACGAGATTCTCCGCCAAGTGATCAGCCAATGCTTGCCCCTTGACTGCCTTCTAAGTCACGTATATGATGTCGAATTCACTTACCAATATCTTCCATTTTGCTAACATACCTATAGGCATGGGTTTTTGAAAGATGTATTTTAGTGGATCCATCATTGATATTAGATATGTAGTGTATGCACAAAAATAATGTCTCAACCTTTGGGCTACAGAAGGAGAATGAAATTGCAAGGGTCATAGGTACTTACCAATTACATATTAATGAACAAGTAAACAAGAGGAATAATTTCAGCAATACCCCAATATCAATAGTAAAACGAATAGTAGAACCTAGGAATCTCAGTGCGTCAAAGTTCCCAAGGGTTTCGAATGAACTCCGGGCAGTGCTCACACTAAGAAAGATCCGATAATCAAATTCTGGTGGCCTTGGCTTTCAGCTGGCCAAAAGAAGCCTCAGAGTAGTATAGGACAAGTGAGAATAAGAAAATAGCAATAATTTCAGTGATTCAGCCCTCTTGGGGAAAGACTATCATGCAAAAATCAATTTCGAATCAGATTAAAAGAGAATCCAGACAAACCCTAGTTCGATAGAAATAAAAAATCGACTACAGATCTTGGTGAATCGGCCCAATATCACCTTGCTATGAATGTATACAGACGGAATACCGTCTAGATCTTGGAGATTGAAGATGATTTCATATTATTCAAGTCCTAGTGCTTACCAAAAATAGGAAAGTACTAAGTGATACCATAATCGTGTAAGTAACACGGAGACAAAACATATAAGGAAGGAAAATCATAGAGGGATTCAATATTAAGGTCAGAATCGGAGAGGATTGAAGGGTGTGTCATCTAGGGTTTCTCAGACACTGATGGAATAGAGAGGATTCATAGGCGGCTGGAGTGGGGAAATGGGGTTAGGGTTTGGGTGAGGGGATATAAGGAAAGGTGGGGATTTATTATGGGTCATTGATCATTTGAGATCAACGGCCACGACCAAAGGGAAACGTGGCGGGTCGTTTACACGGGTCGCGATCGGGTTCATTAAAAGGGTGATCTGGTTTGGGCTTGGGGTTATTGGGCTAGGTTTTGGGTCAGAAATTAACTCAAACATTGGGCCAATGTTTTTTAAATACACAAAAATCATAAAAATAATTTATAAGTAGTTAACAAATAATAAAAATATTATTTGTATAGTAAGATGCTTGAAAATAATAATTTGATATTATAAAAATATAAAATTACTATTTGGGCACAAATAATGTAATACAATGTAATTATGCATAACATATTGGCTATAATTGCAAAATTATATAAATAGCTTAAAAATACAAATATAAATATATGAAAATGAGGTAAAATATTATGAAACATATATGTGGATTCAAATAATACATTTGGATGATTAATTCATCACAAAATAATTTAAAGGGGTAATTAATACATATTCAAATAATTTAAATGCAAGCAAATCTATTTTCAAAGATTTAAAAATTATGAAAAATTATAGAAAATACTTGTATGACTCTTGTAAATTGGTAATGGTGCAGGAATGATATTTTAAAAGCATATATGATATTTATAAAAATATGAGGGAAAAATTGGGTATCAACACAGTATTTGAGTAAGTTTATGCATGCACCCAAAAAGTCACACTATGAAAAAGCTCTACATGTAGTGAATTATGTCAAGAATCATCCTGAACTTGGACTCTTAATGTCAAGCACTAGTGCAGAAGATATTGTGGCTTACTGTGATTCAGACTGGGCCTCATGCCCCATGTCTTGGAAATCAGTTACTGGTTTCTGTATCAAGCTGGGAGCATCACATATCTCCTGGAAAGCAAAGAAGAAGAGTACTATATCTAGAAGTTCAGTAGAAGCTAAATATAGAAGTATGGAACATACAGTAGCAGAATTGATATGGTTGAAAGGACTATTGAAGGAGTTGCAGGTGAATGTGAAGATGCCTATGGAGTTATACTGTGATAATATAACGACCCGATCAGTCGTTTTTTGTAATTGCACCTCGTTATAACTTTTATTGCTTTACACTTGTGTATTTAAATATTTATGACTTGCGGGATTGATTAGTTTAGTTCCAGGAGGCTTTCAGGTTGATTTGGACCCTTGATTCCATATTTAGAGGTTTAAATTTGAAAATATTGAACAAACTTTGACTTTTGTAAAAACGACCCCCAGAACTATACTTTAGTAACTCCAATAGCTTTGTATCGTGATTTTGGACTTGGGAATATATCCGGAATTGATTTTGGAAGTACGTAGGTCAATTTGCCGAAATTTGGCAATTTTAAGTTGAAAAGTTTGACCGTCGATTGACTTATAGCTATTGAGCTCAGAATTTGATTTTGTGAATTGGAATAGGTCCGTTATGGTATTTATAACTTGCCTACAAAATTTGGCGTCATTCAGAGTTGAATTGATAGGAATCAGACGCGTAATTGTAATTTTAGAAGTTCTTCAAATTCTCTTTGAAAATCATGCGTTTTAGAGTTCAATTCATAGTTTTAGATGTTATTTTTGTGTTTTGATCGCGCGAGTGAGTTTCGAGATCTAGGTCTCGGGTGAGTTTCGAACGCTTGGCGGAGTGTTGTTGGAATATTTAAGTTGATGGTTTCTGCATAGGCCTCATACCTCGCAATTACGAGATCTCAGTTCGCATTTGCAAAGTTTAGACAAGCCAAGCATTTGCGAACCCAGTGTTCTCATTTGCGAAGTGTGCTGGGAATGAGCTAGTTCGCATTTGCGATCGCTTTTGTTCGCAATTGCGGAGGTCCAGGGTTCGCAATTGCGGTGATAGCAGAGATGGGAGGGTCTTCGCATTTGTGAGAGATTCTTCGCATTTGCGGGGTTCGCAATTGCAAACCCATGTCGCATTTGCCACATCTGCGACTGATCAAATAGCTAAGAGACAAGATATTTGAGTTCATTCTCTCATTTTTGAACTCTGGACTCCGTAGGAGGCGATTTGGGGAGTGAATTTTCACCTACAAACATTGAGTAAGTGATTCTAATCTATTTCTAATCATATTTTATCAACATATCTTAGATTTTAACATCAAAATCATGTAAATCAAAGTAGAAATTTATGAAACTTTGACATGTTTTTAAAATAATAAAAAAATTGAGTTTTGAGAGTCGATTTGAACTCGAATTTTAAAACTAACCACATATATGAACTCGTGGGGTCATAGATAGACGGAATCTAACATTGGACCTGGATTTTGACCGGGCGTGTCCTGGGTTGACTTTTGTTGACTTTTTGGAAAAAGTGTAAAAATCTTAACTTTATCTATTGCAATTGAATTTCCTAGCATTGTTTGATGTTATTGAGTCGATTTCGGTTAGATTTGAGCAGTATGGAGGCAGATTTTAAGGAAAATGCTATTTCCGACTATTGAATTGGCCTAATTGAGGTAAGTGTCTTGCCTAATTTCGTGTGGGGGAACTACCCCTTTGGATTGGTATTGTTTGATTCAATTGTGCTAAGTGAAATCCGTGAATGCAAGGTGACGAGTGGGTACACGAGTTGTACGTAGTATTTGACCGGTTTAGGCTACTTAGACTATTTACATGCTTTAATTGAAATGCCATATTATATTCTAAATTCTCATAGTTAAATCATCCTTAATTGTGTTAGATTATCATTAAATGCCTTAGTTGACTTGTTTAGTAATTGTTCTATATCCTACTTGCTAAATTGCTTTCATGCTTTAGTTGAACTTATTGTCCCCTTCTATTGTCACATGTTATCTCTTCATTGTTAATTAGCATTGTTGAATTAATTGTTCATGTCGCCCCTTTATTTGTTGACTTCCGTTATTTGATACGCATTGTTAAAGATTATTTCCTTTATTGTGAGTTAGTCTTATCTAATATCGTGGTTACACGTTGTTTTCTCATTGTTGAGTTATTTGATGTTGAGGTTGTGGAAGTTATTAATACGTTGAGGCGCTGTTAGTTATTGTTGAAACATCTATCCTATTGAGCATTTTTCATCCATTATTGTTGTCGATATTCTAGTATACGTTGTGTTGGAGCCATGGGTGATTGTTGTAGAAATAATAATATTTTTGTTGTTGGCAAGTTGTGATATGTGGGCACTTGTGGTGTGAGTTGTGGGCACTTGTGGTGCGAGACTTCAAGGTATGCCTGCTCGGCGTCTGCAAGCCTCAGAGTCACCTTCCTTTATCCTCATTTACTACCGTATTTACTTTTAGACAGTGATGTAGTAGTTACTCTTGTTATATTTTGTAGAGTTTTGGGGTGTGTAGTGTGAGACTCGATTTTCGGAAGGTTTTCATCTATTGTTCAATTATTTTCCGCAATTTGTTAATTCATATCTATTCAGCTTTTATTATTGTTAGGCTTACCTAGTCGTAAAGACTAGGTACCTTCACGACATCCTACAGAGAGAAATTGGGATAGTGACAAATAACAAGGCAGCCATATATAGCAGTTAATCCTATGTACCATGAGAGAACAAAACATATAGAGATTGACTGCCACTTTATAAGGGAGCAAATACAAGAGGGTTTGATCAGAACTACATATATACCCGGTTGGAATTGAAAACCATTTTCTATTCTCAACTTGAGGGGAGTGTAGAAATAAATAGTTTTACACATAGTTATTTATCTTGTACTCTTCTAGAAGGATAATTAGTTAGAGATTAGTTGCTTAGCTGTCATAATATTAGTTAGTGGAGATATTAATTTTTAATAGATATTTAGACGTGTACAGAATACTTTCCGGTTAATGAGTTAGAGAAAATTCAGGTCCACTCTCTCTCCAGAACCTTCCTCTCATTTCCCTCTCTGTTCTCTCTTCTTCCCCAAATCTGTGACTCCATTAATGGCAGACCTAGAGCTTAACATCTTTTGCTTTTCTAATTACTCATCTTAGAGTACGCGCATTATGCATGTACTTTTATTTAATGTATATAATTTTTTTAAAATTACATAATGATTATTAAAGAATGTTTTGAGTTATAAAAATAAATTAATAGAAAACAAATTTCTGAACATGATAATATTATTTAACTAACTCAATAAAGAAAAAACTTGACCTCAAAAAGTTCCCAAATTCTTTACTATATTATTCACATATTACTGATTTTTCTAAACTGGAGTGAATGCCACCTTTTTGATTAATTTATTTAAAATTGTCAACAATTTTTCTGTTAAAATATTGTATCAACAAATGTTAGAAATATTACTTCACCAATTTACAACAAAATGAAAAAAATCACCAAAAACTCTCCAAGGTATCGTAATAGTCATGATCAAATTTATTTAAAGCTATTACCAATTTTTCTATTAAAAATATGATATCATCAAATGTTATAAATCTAAAACATTTCTGCACACATATATCTATAAATTAAATTTAAATTAATGTGAGTAAATAATTGTCACGACTCAAAATTCAATATTGGTTGTGATGCCATCCAACATCGCCGTTAGGCAAATCAACACATAATTATTCATTTTATTATTTTTAAAATCATGAGTCTTATTTAGATATAGAGGTCAGTGCATTAAAATAAATCGTAGTTACGTACAATTTAATTAAAATAATAAGTAAGAGTGTATCAATTAAAACAATCCATAAACAAACTCTAGAACACCCCAAAACCCTGTGTCACAAGTGCATGAGCATCTACTAGAAGGTACAATAACAATACAATATCTTTCTAGAATACAAGTTAGACAGGAAAATGTAAATAATTCTGATGGATACTCTGTATGCTGCGGATCCTAACATGAGATGCAGCTCACCGTAAAGTCTCCGCAATAGCCGTGCCTTTGCGCTCAAAAGACCACGAGATAAGTCGTCACAATTCAAATCAGAAAAACTCACGGATACATTGGCTTCTTGTCAAATATTACGCACGATTCGGCCGAGGCAAACGACCGATCCCATAAGAGTGTTTTATAAAGTTGTCGGGGCGAATGATCCGATCCCATAAGAGTATTTTATAAAAATGCCGAGGCGAATGACCCGATCCCATAAGAACATGCTACTGCCGAGGTGAACGGCTCTATCTCACTAGAATATGATACTGCTGAGGCAAACAGCCCGATCCCATAAAAATATGGCACATAATCCTGCCGAGGCGAACGACCCAATCCCATAAGAGTGTGTTACATAATCCTACCAAGGCGAACGACTCGATCCCATTAGAATAAGAAGTTTTGACGGGTCCTTGACCCTACTCACGAATATACGTGCAAGTTATGAAATTTAAGGAAGCTTTTCGATGAAAACGCACAATGCAGGAGAAATTCTTAGAGGAAGCACAATCATTCCGCGGCTAATCAAGTAGCTCGTCAAATCTGTACAATAGCGAGTCCATCACTCTACGTAAGCCTAGTCTCAAGTTGTAATGCGAAATAAAGGAATGAAACAGGCAAAGATAACTCAAATAGTACAATTAAAGTATGACGTGAACCTAAGTCTACCCGGACATAACCAGGAATCCTAGCATACGCACGGACACTCGTCACCTCATACGTGCGCAGCTCCCACAATATATAGCATATAACAAGAACAATACTTACGGGGTAAATTCCCCCTCACAAGGTTAGAGATGAGACTTGCCTCGCTCTGAAGTCCCAAAACTGGCTCCCACGCCTTTCTAACACCTCAAACCGATGCCCATCAATCCGAAACTAGTCAAACAATCAGGAAAACCAATAAAAATATACTCCAGTGTCATAATTAATTAATTTATAATAATTTTCAACTCCGCACGAAAAGTCAACAAAGACAACCCTCGGGCTCACGTGCCCGGATTCCGAAAATACTCGAAGATAAACGTTACCCATGACACCACGAACCCATGACACGACCAATCACCCCCGAGGCCCCCGGAACCCCATCCAAACATACCAACACATCCCAAAAATTGATACGGACTTAGTCGAGGCCTTGAATCATGTCAAACAACATCAAAATTATGAATCGCTGATCGAAACCTTTCTTTAAACTTGTCAAACTTTTAAATTTTGACGAACGCGTCCGATTCATACTTTAACATTCCGGAATGACGCCAAACTTTACGCACAGATCACAAATCACGATACGAACCTATTCCAAGACTCGGAACCCCAAAGGGATATCGATGACACCAAAGTTCGCTTCAAATCAAACATAGAAATTTCTAAAACTTTTAAAATGTTAACTTTCCACAATAAGTGCCGAAATGCTCCCGGACCACCCGAACACACGTCCAAGTCCAGAATTATCATACGAACCTATTGGAACTTTCAAATCCTGATTCCGAGGTCGTTTACTCAAAAGTTAAACCTTGGTCAACTCTTCCAACTTAAAGCTTCTGAACTGAGAATTTTCCTTCCGAAACAACTTCGAACTTCCCGAAATTTAATTTTGACCACAAGTACAAGTCATAATACATGAAGTGAAACTACTCAAGGTCTCAAACCATCGAACGGCGTACTAGAGATCAAAACGACCGATCGGATCGTTACAATAATGTTAAAAAGTGATACTAAACCACTCATCCAAACATTAATTGTTCAAACAATTGGAAAAGAAACTTTTTATGTGACTATAAAATATTGATCAAGAAAACAACTCAAGACTGTGGATAAGATCATGCAATTAAGAGGGAAAAAAAATATTTTATATGACTGTTGATAATAGAACATACATTAATTTCTCAATAGAATTTTTGTATTTTGTTTACCCAATCTAGGAGGGGAGGGGGAGAATGACCATGTGAAAGAAGTTTTTCTGCACAATACTAAGTTGGGTAGAAATTAGTGTCTTACAGCAATGCACATTGGCTTAGAGGTTCACCGAAG